ACCAAACTTGGCAGGTTCTCCCCAAAGGGGGTTTTGGCCTGGGCTTTCATGTAAGCAGTTCAGGCTGTTCATGAGTGAAACCCTCCCATGCACAGCTTGGAGTATGCCCAAGGCAGGTTTCTTCTAATGCCTGGAGGTAAAAGGGTCACTGTAATACCAGATGGAGAAATAAAGCCTAACCAGTGTGTGTGCAAATCAGGCACAGGTAGGATCTGCATGTCCTCTTTGAGCCAGAGCAGGTAGATTATCTGCTCTCTAAGCTTCTCAGTCGTTGGTGGCAGCAAAGCCCAAATCCAGAAGCATTTTGAATTCCAGGTCAGAGATCAACTCCAGCCCAGTTGCCTCCTGGTCTCTCTTTTCTGCAGCGTGTTTGGAACGTGTCAAAAGCTGCACAAACTAAACACAAGACCATCTGCTTAGCAGCAACAGCAGCTCCTTGTCCTCAACTTCTAGCCTTAGAAAATCCCTTGTCTTGGTTCTGCTGACCACATTAAGAACGAGTTCAGCAGGAAGGACGAGAGCTCTCCAGAGTAATTCCCAGCAGAACCCCACGGGGAAGCCTGGAGCCTGCCTTGGCGCCATGCTCAAGAAACAGAGCGTGCAGTGTGGAGAGCCCTTCAGAGAGCAGCCAGGAGCACAGGGGGAAGCACAAACGGTACCTGCAGCAGCTTTCAGCAGCAAATCCAAATATCAGGGCAGGCATTTGCTGAGGCGATAGCAAAGCTGTTGTGAGGCTGCCCTGCCTCCCCTCCCCACAGCTGCACAAAGACTCAGTAAGTCACACACAGAGAATGCTTGAGCAGTGGAGGTACAAAATGGAGCGTATTAACTGAAGCTTTTAATAAGATTTTGATAACAATGATTTTTATGTTAATCTCTAAAGAGTTTGCTTTTGTAACATATAACTGATAAGCATATAATCTAGTTTTAATTTAATCTCTGCAGGTGTTTCCCGATGGTAAATGTTAAATTTTTATTGCTTCCTTAGGCAGTAATAATAGGAGAAATGTCTGTAGGGCTCCCACCATCCATTTGTATGCAGATAGCATCGTATTTTATAATAGCTGTAAATCTGACAGGATAGACTCTTACTGTTGAGATGATATTATAAATATGTGTCAACACTGAATAAACATCTTTGAAAGGAAAATAAAATAGAGATGTTATTAGAGGTCTAATGAAACAACCATAACTGCTTATTTATAAGAGATGTATGCGCACATCCTTGGAAAAAAGTAGAGCCCATGCTGGGTTTGCAGCTTTCTGATGAGCAGGACATAGAGATTCTCAGCAGGGTCCTGCAGACAATGCAGAAATAGATCCTACACTTCATAAAGATGATGACTGTCTATAAACCTCTAAGTGTTTGTTCTCTCTGAGGTTTCAAAATGATTATAAATACCACGGTGTCTAAGACTCAATTATGGCTTCTTTCATACAGCTTAGGAGCACAGCACGTCAGGAGCTCCCACATGAAGAACCATAAGACACCAAGTACAAGGAAGTGAACCCTGGTGACTGCCTGAGGTGTAATGCAAACACATTTTGGGCAAAATTCACTCAGTATGAGATCTGATAGGGACTTGATCCCTTAGATCTTACACTTAGCCTTATTCACTGAGCATGCATGAAACCTGCCCTTGTTTACATTGAGTATTTTAAAGCCAGCAACACTTTAAGATGCGTTTTCCTCAAATAATTTTATCCGTTCTGCAGCAAATGTGGCTCTCGGGCATGCTGTGCTCACTGTGTCCATAGGCACACCTCAGGGACCCAGCAGCACAGGCAGAGATTTGAGCTAAAAGATTCCTAAGATGGAACTGGCTTGGCTCCAGCCAGTGGAGAGCGTGGCAGAGAGAGCTTTGAGCTCTACTCTCCTGTAGAGGCATGCCCTGGAAAGGATTACACTTTAACAGAAGTCTAGATATTTCCTCAGTGGTGCTGTGATATGTGGCTCCCAAGGTCCACATCATTAGTCATAAAAACAAACAACCTGAAACAAAAAATACACACAAGTTCGTTTAAGTCTCTAGTGACAGGGAATGGGAATACAGCTCGCTGCCACTGGAGGGGGGAAATTTGAAAACCTGCCACATAAGCAAGTCAAAAAAACCCAAAACACTTTTTGCTGGTGAAATAAAGTTACACAAACAGCTCAGACAATTTAGGGTAAACAATTTTTGCGTCTATTGTAAATCAGAACATGTATGCTACTTTAGGGTGGTAGTTTAAATGCAGTATTGTTTCTTCTGCTAGTCTTTAAAAGTAAAAAAATATTTGATATGGAGACTTTTTAATAAATTGGTAGTAATTAGAAAGAAAACTCCAATAATTTTCTACAGAAAGACAACATGAGTGCAAATGGAAAGGCAGACATGCCACTCCCTTTCCTGAGTTAATTCAAAGCCAAAGAGGATCTGCCACATTGTGCTATGGAGAGGGGAACTGTCAAAAAAACCCCAAAACATCACATTAAGCAGATTGATTAGTAAGAATTGAATGCACTACGAGCCATAGGTAAGATTCAGATATATAAAGTGTTTAGCTCTCTCCTATCTGCTCGTTGTTTTCACATCAGATTTTGTAAAAATACAATTTAATCCGTGTGACTCCTTTAGACTGAGGATTCAATAAAGGAGACTCCTCATGAAGTGTTTGCAGTCAGCCCCTGCAGCTGCACAGTGCCAATGTCCCAGGCCCACTGGGCTAGTGCTGAATACAAACCCAAGCTGGTACCCTCTGTTATAAATGCTGCACCATGTCCTTGTGCCATGACAGATAAAGTGGAATATTTTACTAATCAAGTGTGCAAAATGACAGGAGTCAGGCATAATGCTGTGTTTCTGACAACTTAGGTAAATCTTTTCCATGATAAATGAGTTGTGAATCTCCCATATGAAGTATTAAACAGATGGATAATCACCACAGCAACCAAAACCACCACAGAGTCATTCAGGAGCATTTCATCTCTGCACACACACTGTCAGGTTTCATGCTATAAGGAGGCAATATTTTATGTAACAGAAGACTAGCCAATGCTTTTAGGTAACTCACAGCATGGGTGAGAGAGGAAGGAGACCAGCTCAGTTTTCAACAGGTGGATACAAACCTTATCAAATGTGACAGAAAAAAGTTGGGTCCTGGGAAGCTTACAGAGGCAGACATAATATCTCCTTTTAGAGAGTCTGAACTTTGTAAATGAACTGGATGAACTGGAAAATACCAATTTGTCTAATTAGTGTGCTTTTAAGTCTAGCCATTTGAGATTATGTTTTTATTTGATCATTCTGTTTGTTATTAATTTGAATATCTCTGAAGCATGTTTATGTCTGCTGCTTCTTCTGAGACAGGTTTTCAAAATGAGGAGCACCCTCCATTGGATTAATACTCAGTAAAATCCTAATAATTTTCTGAAATCCTGAAAGGCTGAAGTCTGACAATCTTTTTAAAAACAAGAATTCCAGTTTATTTTTAAACATGTAAACATCTGAACTGATTTACGCTCATCAGGAAAGAAAATATTTTGCCAGTTTTCACTGCATACATTTTCAGAAATTCAAGAAAAAATTATGATTTCTCTATATAATAATTTAACAATATTATGTAATTTGTGGCTGAAAGACTGAACTTCTTAATGAACCATTAGATCTGCAGAAAAAAGTGAGTGCTATAACACACACCTTGCCTAAGTTGGAAAATATACTTTTTAGAATTTCTTTATTTAATGTCTTCCAATATTTTAAATATGTTACTTCCTGTTCTGGATTGTTTAATGTTATTGTGAAACACTCATGGCTGCTGTGTTTATTTCACCACGGACGTGTTCATTTCACTGAAGGGTAAAGCTTGGTAATGGGTAAAAGATTTTGCAATCCTGTACTGGGTGGCTCAACATAAACCTTAATTATCTACTTGACTTGCAACAAAAACATTTTGCTGTACTAAAGATGTTGAAGTTTGGGGTGATACTGGGTGGTGATTACACATGGATTTGTTTATATTATACAGAGGGGAAGTTGGGGAAGAAAGCAAAGGAAGATGGTATAGTGGATAACTCACATGATATAGTGGATAATGCACACTACGAGCTGAAGTTCACAAAGTGCCTAGCTGAATGAAAGCACATTAAGTAAATAAGAGGAATAAAGAACAAAGGTACGAGCATGGAAGTGTTTACAGGGACAGCGTGTCCCGTTTAAGCCGTGCTGCTGGGTGAGCAGGCGGTCACGCCTGGGTGTTCGCTCGCAAACCCTCCCGCTCCGGCTCGGCCCGGGGGTGGCACTGG